TATTTTTGGTGATCAGATTTGAGAAAACACAGAAACTCACTGTCAATTATCGATATCATTAAATGTAGTCTTTGCCAATAGTAGACCATATCAGAGCTACATCTACTATATTGTATACTAAATATGTCAATAAGATATTTTCTAATAGGGAAAGCATGGAATGTTGAAGACAGTCATTGCCTCAAAACCTCACTCATAAGCAAACCACACCTGAGGAGATCACAATGAACCATGTCTGAGTAAGTACCCCAGCAGATATGTATGTGCCTCAAAAAAGGATGCTCAGCCTTGAGTCTACAATGCTAAGTGAAAAAAACTGGGCACAACTTAACTATTAAATGTATCTCATACACAAATTCCTAAGTATGAACAATTTAAAGAACAAAATAAAGCAAAGATGATATGACACAGGAAGATAGACTTTGTGGAAATGGGAAAGGGATCTAGGGATAGGGGAGAGGAGGGGAGAGGAAGGGGAAAGAAAAAGGATCAAGGTGCAAGTTGTATATGTCCCAACTCACCATGATGAATGTGTTCATTATGTATTGCACATATATAGTAATTTTAAAAGAATCTACTTTCTTAAATATTCTAAGCCAAAGCAAACAATATATTTCTTTTCTCACCATTTTCCATAAAGATAAACTCAGATTCTAAGACCCTCTCAGCAGGAAAGCCTAGCATATAATAAGCACCTAGCATATAATATCTAGATCCACTTTGTCCTACTCTTTGTCATGATATAACAAAAATTTTTAAATAAAACTTATTTCAGTTGTTAACAGCCAAGCTCCCTGCTCAGATTGCCAAATAAAGCTCAGATCCTATCAAGTTTCTGGTTCATTTCCAAGTAGATGTTTTCCTTTAGCCAGGGAGCCTTAAACTGAGTTATCTAATAGTCTCACCTAGCTAAGGGGAAAATTGAACACTGAATAACTGTTTATCATGATATGAAATAAAAGAGGTGAAAGTAATGCTAGGGAATTTATAATACCTGATAGAGGAAAATAATTAAAATAGGGAGTTTACACTTCTAAGGCAGCCTTGTTTTCATGTCATGAACCTATTCGGGCATTCTGTAAAAGTATTTCAAGGGAAAGTGCAATGAAACAGAATCTGCAAAGCAAAAGTTATAAATTTAATCCTTGAACTAACCTTTTCACTCCTCAACATGGTGCATTGAAATTTGTGATGCTGCCTTTCTATCACCTCTAGAAAATACCACTGTCTCAAATAGAAAATCCTCTATTCATCTGAAATTTAGAAATTTCTCAGGTTGTGGAAAAATGAGTGAATCGGCCTAATTAATAAATGACTGGAAAACACCTTGAAAATCCCATCATCAAAGGAGCTATTTCGGTGAAAGGATCGTTAGATTATTAATCATCAGTAGGACGAAAAGGATAATGATGAGAAGAGATACAGTCCTTAAGCAGAAAGGCTGTGAATGATTCTATTCCCATGATAATAGTTACTGTCAATGGCACACTCAGATCGTTGCCTCAAAGGAGATTCTGAGCAGCTCTACAGCAGTGAGCTGAGTCTTTCACTAGATTTTCTTTGACAATATGTTAAAATAAGTCTCGAAGTTCAAAAAACAAGGCTGATTTAGAAGACATACTAACAGTGTGCACCACTTGCTATATGCTGAGCTATTTTCCATGGGTATTTCATTTATACTCCACAACCACACAATGAGACATTTATTATTGCAGGAGAATTTAGGATTTATGATTAGTGACCATCCATAGTAACTGTTTTAGAATCTAATTTAAGTTCAATTCTACTCCAAAGCTTTCTCTCCCAGCCATTACACTATATTGTCATAGGAGTCTTCATTTTCTTACCTTTTGTGTTCCTCACCTTTTCTCCTCCTAACACTTTCCGTTTATATTTACAGATCAGAAACAAGATAAAGGGTATTTCTAGGATGATGGACATTTGTTTTTGGTGTCATTTAAAAGCTCTAAAGCAATCTAGAGAATGTTCTGCACAATGTGCATTGCTTTTCTAATATGTTTAGCTTCAGAATTCAATAGTGGATACAATATTGTGTTACAAATATAACACATTTCCCTTTCAGGTATAGGGTTATTGAGACACTTTGAAAAAAAAATAAAAGCTATTAGAACTGACAGAATGAGGCAAATTAAAGATAAGTAAATTTCTGACAAGATATCATTATAACTCCCTTGGTTTCTCTGTGGTGCGTACCCTTTCTATGTCTAATTCATCAATCAGTATTTTTATCATCTAATTTAAATGCACTTTCCTAAACTTTCATTATTTGGTCTAGGTAAATGATCAGCTTTAGGCAGAGCACAAATGGATGACTTCCTGTATAGTGTTCCAGGTGCTATAATCTCAGTTTACTCTCCCACTGTCCTTGGAAAAGAGCTAGAATTTCCACTTTATATTTGTGAGATTTCTTTGCAAGGTCACCAATGAAGCATTAGGCCCGCTTGGTCTTTAGGCAAACATTACTGGGTAACCCCCAGAATAATTCATGCCAATGTGGGAGAAGGATCCAGAGTTATATGTCAGGGAGACAGACAATAAACACAATAGATAGATAAAAAGTGTGATAGATTGGATAGCGTGATAATACTGTACTAGCTTTTTTCAAAGTACTAAACACTGGGTAGCTCCAAATAACAAAAGTTTATTCTTTCACAATGTTGAGGCTGAAAGTCCAAAATCAACCATCCAGCTTGTCCATGCTCCCCCTAGAACTCTAAGTAGAATCCTTCCTACTGCTTTGTATATCTTCTAGTGGTGCTGGTAAATCTTTGAGATTTCTTGGCTTGCTGCTTGCATCACTTCAATCTCAGCTTCTGCCATCACATATGTTTTCTCGTGTATCTTTGTCTTCGCCTCGTTTGTTTCTCTTCTAAAGACACAAGCCATATTAGAGTAAAGCCCATTCTAATAATTTGATCTTGATCTTATTATATCTGCAAAGCCACTATTTCCAAATAAAATCATACTTGTAGACACTATGGGTTGAGATTTGACCATATCTTTTGGGGAACAAAAGTTCAAAGTACAATACATTGAGTGAGACAAATTTAGGGAACTTCAGTGGTTGTGTAAGAGGAAGGTATGTGTAGTAGGAAATAGTGTAGTCAAGAGAAGCCTGACTAAAAAGGAGCCATTAATGTGAAACCTGAGGAAGAGGGAGCCAGCCGTGGTGGTTGGGTAGACGCAGACACAGAGGCTCTGTGGAACGTACCATTCACACTCCAGAACTGCGAGGAGGCTCCTAGGGCTGTAGCAGTGAACAAGGAGTGAAGAGGTAGGCGATGAGTTCTGGAGAGTCACATTGTAAAGACATAGTAATTTTGAAAGTTATCTCTACTAAGTTAAAAGATTAGAAGGAAGAGGAACATGAAGTGGCAGAACGTACACAAATAATGCCTGTCCCCCTCAGAACAACTTATGTGCAAGACAGCCTCTTGAAATTTAAAGGGAAGAAAAGAAATACTGTCTTGGCACTATCCATACAATCATCCTTTTGTCTTCTCATTCCTACAGAAAAAATGTCTGCAATCCAGTGCCTTTGCATGGAGGGGGAGAACAGGGGTGTTAAAGGAGGACTCTCGAGAACACTAGCCAGACATACTCACCCCCAACGTCCCACACTTTTCCGCTTATGGAAAAGCTGAAGTAAAGGGACCTCTCACCACCACATGGTTACAGTGAGTAGTAGCCAGAGTGAGTCTTCAGATTCCTTATGGTTCAGTCCTCTACATCAACATTCAGGATAGGTGAATGATCTAAAGCTCATCAATGTATATTATTTCCAAGTGAACAGACACTGTTGGTAAAGGGGCCACTAAGGCAGCAGGTTTCATCCAGCTTTTGTCTAATGAAGCTTTCTTTCCTTCAATCCCTCATCCTTTGAGCCAAAGGAAAATCTAGGGTTCACCTCAAAAGGATGCAATCTTCCTCCAGTATGTGACAATGTTTTCCTCCACTGCAGCACAGTTGGCCTTGTTAATGAGGCCCTAGGGGGAGAGTTCATGGTTGCCTGTGTCTCTCTTACCCCAGTTGCTGATTACAACCTGGCATCAAAGCTTCAGAGAGTTTATTACCATATGTTCCATTTCCCTTTTTAGCACTATCTGGGCTCTGTGTATAGAGACAGGAGACAAGGTACTTCCTACAGTCGAGCTGAGCAGTTTCTAGAAGATGATGATCTATGACAAGAATACTGAGCTTTATTAAAGCACAGTCTGGAAGAGGACATTCTTTTTCATGAGCAGCTATGTGTTGGCACACAATCATATATTCCCCTTAAGAGGTCCAGTCAGTCGGCCAGGGCAGAGGGAGAATTTCCTGGTGTACTAAACTTAAGCACTCATGCTGTCTGCCTCAATAATATTGAGAATGCTTGTCAGGGTTTCACTTGACGAAATCTCAGAGTGGCATAATAATATTTCCTTTTAGCTGGAGAAACAAAATAGATTCTGCAAATTACCTTCTTGCTTGTTTTTCCTGGAGATGATTTTCCAGTAGATTTCACATAAGCAAAGAACTTCTCAAATCCTATGTGCTGATTATGAAAGGAAGGTTTGTAGAACTAAAATGCTTGAAGTGTTATCCCTTAGAGCACCAATGATTGTATTTATAGCCTGCCTTTTGAAATGTTTTACAAGTGTGCTTTGTGTTTATATTCAATATGCTGACCACCCCCATATGCCACTTCATATGATCAAACTTTACTAAAAAAGGCTTAAGAAGCAATATTTATTCCACACACAGAAAAAAGCTACAGAAGCTTATAAATACTAACTTTCCAGAATAGAAACACAATTGGCCCATGTCATACATATTTTTATTCTTATAAACCTCTCAATAGATTTTTCCAGCTCTTGATGATGATTTCCAAAGGAAAATCTCAAAGTTTCCCAGTTTCCTTAGCAACAGAATAAGGCGTAAATTGTGCTCCTATATTTCCAAACATCTGTATCCAAGCAACACATTAAAGTGTATTGCCAGTTGATGTACATACAGTTGGTAGGTACGGTGACTTCACAGAAAGAAGTTAGCAGGGAAAAAATACAAAAGGACAAAAACAAGGTAAGATCACTAGAAAAAGTAGTGCGGATTTCTTGTTTTATTTTCTCTGCTCAGTCTGAGTAAAAGATGGTCAGGCTATAATTACTTCATAAATTATCAGTTTCAAGAGGAGCTTACAGTTTCAGTTAAGTGTTTTTTTTTTATTAGGTTGCTCTATAGCTAGCCATTCTAGCCTCAAAGATAATTCAAAAAAGTTAACTGATGGTGATCAAAAGGAATTATTCTTTGGCAAATAAAAGAGTCACAGAAGCTGGAAGTATTTATTATGAGTGAGAAAGGCTGTGAAACAGTGAACTCATTAGTCCACACTACAAAATGACTGTACAAAGGCCTCTGATATACCAGCTCTCCAACCAACCTATTGTCTCAGTACAATCCTTCGTTATTGGAAACAGGAACTTAGGTACAAACTGACAATTTTGTCTGGAAATTCATATTCAATTCAAGTACTTCCAGATACATAAATGACAGACCTTGTTTTTTGTTTTTTGTTATTTTTGAGACAGGGTCTTACAATGTCATTCAGGCTGGATTTACACTCACTATGTAGCCCAGGCTGGCCTTGAACTCATGGAAATCCTCTTGCCTCAGCCTCCCAAGTGCTGGTATTAGAGGGCTGGCACCATGCCCAGCACCAGATCCTAAATTAAAGACCCATGCCAGTTCTGTGTCCTTGAAAAACTTTTTTTCTGGTCTGGCTTATCTTCAAAAATGAGAATAATGTGGAATTATTAATAGGTACAACATTTCAATTCAGAAAGGTAAATATTTTCTAGAGATGAATATTCACAGCAGTGTTAACATACGTAACGTGACGTAAAGATTATTAGTGGAAATGTTATGCATGTTCTTACCAAAATTTTAAAAGCAGAAGCAATATTGCATCCCAAACAATTCTGAGAATCACATGAGATAATGAATAGTTTGCACAGTATCTGCCATGTAGTAAATCCTCAGTACATAGTCATTGTTGAGATTCACAGTACGTTAATGAAAACCGGCTCTTGAATCCTCTGAGTCACCACTGGCATCGAGTACAACATGCTCCGCTTTACTCTTTGTCCTCTCTCCAGCACTGTCTCATCTTCATGTCTCGGGTCCTAGTCACTCTTCGCACTGTTTCTCTATTCAAGTGTGCACTCTCCAATATATTTACACCAGGAACAGTCATTGCAGAAGTCCAAAAGAGTCAGAACCTACAAAGAATCAGAACTTTTCACTAAACTTGCATATAGGAATAATCAGAAAAGGAAACTATTTTAAATTTAGCTGCCAGTTGAAAACAAATCTTCAAAATGACTGTAAAGTTTTGACAGTTGCAAGACCAGTCATGGGTAAAAATACAAAAGTAGTTGGATTTCTGTTTCTTTCTGCCCTCGCTCACATGGGAATAGTACCTGTGAGCACAAAAGGGTGATGAAACTCTGTTTAAGGGACTTCCACCTCACCACACCTTTAACATTGCCCAGCAATCCTGCTGTTTCTCTTATTAGCTCAGTACCTCTCCTGCAATGATTATCTCAAACTTCCTACGCTTGCCATGCAGCTCCTGCCCTTCCTTTACCTGGACAGTAAATGGCCTTACCTCCTACTTTTCAGAGAGGATTAAAGCCATCTGACCAAGCACTGCTTTCTTTCTTGCTGTGGAACTCATACAGTGAGCAAGCTCTACATCTGTACACTCCTCTCCTTCTTGTGGCAATCGAGGAGCCCTCCCTGTGTCCAAGGCCCACCTTCCATTACTCTGTTCTGGTTCTCGAAATTTGCAGTCTTCCCAGAGACATTGTACTAGCAATTACTTCTTTCCTTTTTTAAAACTATAGTTTTGCCTTGAAATTTACTGTTTACAGCTTGAGTTTATGTATACTCCAATTATTATAGTTAGGTAGAAGTATCATAGGCAGGCACACAGGGCTGGGCCCTGGAGAGGTCAGTGCAGAAGACAACTGTGGGACTATTCACTGAAGGCCAGGCTTCAAGAAAAAGAACTACTCACCCATCTATTTCTCCTAGGGATGAACAGCAGTGACTGATATTCTAAGGAGTCCTTCCAGGAATGTCCTTATCTGCCCATGTGCGCTTGCTCTGTGACTTGTTTCCCCATTTGATCCCCATGTAATCAATGTTACTCCAGTGACTATACTTGTTGTGTACTTATGGGTTGACCACAGCTTTGTACCACCTCACACCCATCCTATGATTTGCCATTGGATCAATATTACCTAAGCAACTATACTTGGAATCTTATTGATTGGTTATAGTCCTGTCCCACCTTAAGCCCTCCTCACCTTGTGGCTTTGCTCAATAAAACACCCTTGAGAAGCATGGTTGGTGGGCAACCCGCTTTCCAGGCCCCCTCTGTCCCTCTCAGACAGAAACTTTCTTTCTCTCAATAATTTCTTCCTCCTCTTAACCTCTGTTGTTCCTGGAATTCATTCCTCAACTTTAGAGAATGCAAAATTGGTGTTTAGGACATCTAGCAGGTGGGGAGTTTCATTCCCCTATATCAAAATGTCTTTTACCTTTAAAAATAAATCCTATCTCTTCAAGTAACAGCCAGCAAGTCCTCATCTCTCCTCTTTCCTTTTCCACATTGATTCCTTAAAGGAGGTGCCTCACTCACTCTTCCCATTTCCTCATTCCTCTGTCATTCAGCTTTGCAGTCCGCTGTAGTGCAGGTCGGCCTTCAATGCTCTTTCAAATTGCTCTCTCAGGCCAACAAAAGCTCTTAACATTCACCTTCCAATCTCATCTTGCTTGGCCTTTCTTGAGCACTACCTCCCTCATAAAATACTCTGCCTTTGATTTTCTTATTTTTGCTCTCCTTTGGTTTTTCTCTCATTTTCTCGTCAGACTTCTTTGCTGGCTTTTCCCTTCTCCACCCATATACTCAATATTATTATCTCAGGAATTTATACTGAATCAAGTTTACTTTGATTCTAGAATCTCTTCCTTGACAATGTTTCTGATGTAATTATTTCAGTTACTCCATTGGCCAACAATTCTGAAATCAACTGTTCCTGAGTTCTCCATATAACTACCTACCCAAAGCTTATATTTTGATGATCTATAAGAAACCTCAAACTCAACTCGTCCAAAGTATTCTTTCAAAATGTCCTATTTCTTCTCTTTTACATTTTAATTCATGGTATTAATATATGCTCAGTTGCTGAAATGAAGGATCCAAAAGGCTTCTCTCTTACTCAAGCTCATGTTCCAATCCATTCTTTTCAAAAAAATAAAAAGAGACAACCGAGTGTCTACTGGAAGCCAAGTACTATTCCAGATAATCATCTCTAATTCACTCTGTTCAGCAGCCCAAGTGTGCAACCCAAACAGTGATCAAATGTACCAGTTCTTTCCTCTGCCAACCCCAGAGATTATGCACCGGGAAATACCCAAACTACTGCGCGACAACTTCCTAGCTGACTGCTCCGTGTGCTCCCTTGCTTTTTTCCTTGTTTTTACTTTTTGAGATACTAAGGCTCAAACTCAGGCCCTTGAGCACGTGAGTCAAGCACCCTCCCAGTAAATTACACCCAAGCCCTCCCTCTTGCTGTCCTTATCCTCACGTTCAGCAGTATCCATCTTCTCTGTTACTACATTTAATTATGAAAATCTGTAAGGAAATTTTATAAAACACAATGAACACGTGTATCCTTTCCTCTTGCACTCATAATTAACATGTTATTATGCATGTACTATTTCAGTCTTTTTATACATACTCATATATTCATATATTCATTACTTTATTTGAAAGTAAATTATATACATATATTTCTATCTATATAAACATAATATATATGCATACAGTTGTCCTTCTGTAGCTATGAGTTCTGTATTCGTAGATTCAACCAATCTCAAAAACTACTTGGAAAAGTATTGCGTTTGTACTGAATATACAGACATTTATTCTTGAACAATATAGTGTAATAACTACTTAAGTAGCATTTATATAGAATTTACATACATTAGGTACTATACATAATATAGAGGGATGATTTAAAGTGTATGGGAGGTTGTACATAAGTTATATGCAAATACTACATTATTTTATATAAGGGACTTAAACATCCATAGATTTTAGCATCTATAGTGGGTCATGAAACCAACTCTCTACAGTTAGCAACTCCCATCCCAAAAGGATCTGGACTCTTGTCTTAAAGTGAAGGAAACTTTGAATTTAGAACAAAGCTAAAAGCTCTTTTGTGTGTTAATGTTATCAAAAGATCATGGATCCAAGGCAACGTTACTTTGCAGCAGCTGTTAAGAATTTAGCCCAGATGGGAGAAAACTTTATTTGAGATTCTGGCCCTGAGTATTCAAATGCAAGATAGACATGATAGTTTGCATTGTCAACTGAACCAGCTACTATCAGGATTAAAGGAGGACAGGACCTTATCCTTCAGACATCAATGGTATCTCAGGGAGAAGTAAAAAGACAAAAATGGTAGATTCTGTATGAAGGAGAATCTGTACGGATGAGCTCATCCACAACACACACCACGAAGTATTAACAAACAGTTGGGGAGTTCCACTGGTACAACTACAGGAAGAAAATTGCTATCCTGTGACAATACCTGTGCACTGGCTCTCTGCCACACCATGGCTGAAGTTACCTGGGAAACATGTCTACCTTTTCAGTTTAAAAGAATTCTTCATTTCATAAAAGATCAATCTCAGGGTTATTTAAAACAGTGAGGATATGATTTTCTTTACCAATAAGTTTGAATTACAGACAAGATTTCCCCAACATATTTCCTGTGAAGAATGAGGACCTTTTGTGCTTTTGATGGCCATCATAATCATCCATGGGAAAAAAGAATGGAAACTGCTGACTTTCACTTGAAGATGACTAAAATGAGCTGAAAATAATATGCTGGGAATAAAGGTAGACAAACATATGCCTCTACTCTTGTCCTGAACACCGAAGAATCATTCCAAAATTTATAGAAGAAAGAAAGAAACTGCTAATAGAACTTTTCGTGGATAATTCAATAAAAATAGTGTAAAAAAATAACTGCCCAATCTTTATAATACTGCCAGTGTAAAATATTAGATATTTCTTTATGCGTGTCTTCATAAAGGTCTCAATTTCTATTTGATATAGTTTGATAGTTTTCTCAATACAAGTGGAAGATGCTTTAGAGGTTGTTATTAAACTAGAGACCCAGTTCACTGGATCAGATTGTTTATCAGCACAGTACTTCTCTTCTTGAAAGAAACTTTAGTGTTGCCCATATGAAAAACAACGAAGATTTTAAGTGACTTTTACAAATGGAGAAAGTAACTGAATGGCAGAAAGCAGGCCTAGAAGATAGTGTAAGGGGTGTATTTAGCCATTGTTCATGCATGCAGGATTAAATTCACTGTGCTACTACTTGTTTTTCATCTATTTATCAGTTTGTCCCATTCTCATTTCCCACCTTATATTTGATTAGTTTTCTTAAATATAGTAGCCTTTTCACTCTATGCGTTGGATTATTTTTATTTCAAAGTTCAAAGATTATAATATACATTCTTATAGTATCCTACATTGAATTATCTTTTCACAAAGGGAGAAACTTAAAACAATGTAATTATAATTTTTTGTTTTCTTTCCAGCTCTTTCTGTTATTATTGTCACATATTATACTTCTCAGTGTTATATACTCCAAATCCAGTTACTTTTTTCCTTAAATATTTGGTGATCTTTTAAAGAAAATTACATTTCTATATATGTATATATATGAAATACATGTGTGAAAATAATATTACATATGAAATAAATATTGTATATGTGAATATATATATATATATATATAATCTCCATACACATATATTTAAATTTGCCAGTGCCTCTAAAATTGATGCTAATTACCTGGGAATCTCAGAGGATCACTATGATTCACTAGTCAATGGAGAGTTAACAATTCTTACCACTTTTCTTTTGGAATACATGTCTGTAACTTTTCACTTTAATAAGATATTCATCTCAGAGTTAATTAGAACAGTGATATTATTGTCTATCAAAAGTTCAAGTTAGAGACTGTTTTTTACTTTTGGTTTTTCAGAAATTTGATTATAATGTTCCTAGGTATATTTCCTCCTTCTCTTCCTCCTCCCCCTCCCTCCCCTCCTCCCCCTCTCTCCCCCCCTCCTCCTCCCTCTCCTCCTCCTCCTCTCCCTTGCTGTCTTCCTCCCCCCTTCCTCTCTCCCTCTCCTTCTCCACCCCGTTTCTGTTCCTTCTCCTCCTCCTCTTTAGATGACCACTGTAATGACTACAAGTGCCCTTAGAGCGATTTTAGGTTGTTCCTCTTCTTCTTTATTCTCTCCTTCCTTCTCTCCCTCACCACTTTACTCTCTCTCTCCAATTGCTCCTTCTTCTTCTCCTTCTTTTTTTCACTCTATGGATAATGTCTTACTAATTTTGAAAAATTCATCAACATAACCTATTCATATGTTTTATTTGCCCTCCTCCCTTTCTTTTTCATTGTGTCTATATACGTGTGTTTGCATGTGTTTGTGCATGTATAAAGCATGTGTGTGTGTGTAAATATCACGTCTAGATGCTTTTGTAAATAATTTCTGTTTACCTCTTTGAGTTTACTGCTCATTTCTTCTGCTATGTTCCCTCTGCTGTTGATCTCATCAAATGAATTCTCAAATTTTATATATTTTTCTTTTCCAGAAATTTCTATTTGCTTTCTGTTTAGATTTTTCATTTTTCCGCTGAGACTTTTCATCTTCCTCTTCCATTGTTTGTGTCTACTTACCTTATTTCAGAAATGAATATAAAATAATTATATCTCCTTGTTTTTAAATTTCTTGATCTTGTGGGTGTCCTGTTACAGGTTTGCTTTTTTTTATAAAAGAAAAGAACAGGTTTGCTTTTTTTATAAAGACATGTTTCTGCTTTTGCCTATATATTAATTTTTATGATATGTCAGATATTGTGTATAAAAATGTGGAAACTGAAATAGATGCTATATAGTTTCAGAAGGCACATACTGTTTCCTCTATCAGAGATTAGGAGATGATTTTTCTAATTATGAACTAATCTAGGTCAGAACTGGAATGAAGCTCTACTTAATTTCAGATGTCTCCTAGCTTCAAACGCCTTCAAGGCAAATTTAAATTGCTCCTCCAGTAGGGCATAGATTTTAAACACTCTGAGACTATACTTATTCAATCAGCTTTTCTGCCTAATGTGCAGCATTCTGCTAGCTGTATGCTGGTAAGTGCTTAATGGACCACACTATAAAGAAAGTCTGATTTACAGCAGGTACTGATTTCTTAGTAGAAATAGCCCCATTACAGGCATATTTGAACTACTGACATATTACTGATTTGAGACTTGGGCAAATATATGCATAACTGTTCTCAGGCCCCGGGACAACTGGCTTTACCAGCTTTTGAATATTCCTCTTTGCTCTGTGAGTTTCTGCACACAGCCCTCACTGAGTAAACCCCTTTGAGCAATCTGGGCAGTGAGAGCTCGTTCTGTCCAGGGCTTCTCTGGATTCTAATCCTCAACATCATCTCAGTGTGTCAGCTGGTTTCTCCAGGTTGCTGCAAATTGGCCATACATGTTCTTCAGCTCCCACTTCTCTTTCTCCAGAGATGAAAGAATTTTCTCAACTGTACCTATCTTGAAAGAGATTATCCATCTAAGAGTCTTGGCATCCTTGTCTCTCTGATAGAGTTTTTAAATGTTATCTACAATTTATCTAATATTTCCTCAGTTAAATTTATACATTATAACTGAATAATTTCCTTTTAATGAAGACAAGATATTTGAAAGAAATTTGCAGCAAGGTTGGCCTAATCTTGAGCTATTTATGGTAGTCAGTAAGCTTGCAGATGAATTTTGCATTTAATGCAACGTGATTTCAATTTTCATGCATTCATTCATCATGTATCTATTTTCTGACCTATATCTATTGATTCCCTGCATATACATACGCATTAATAGGATGCGTGTAGAATCCAGAGTCATGAATCTATTTCATACTTGAACTTAAACATAGCCTGAAATGACACAGAAGAAAGTGAATGGAAGGTGGCATATGTTTCATTATAAACAAGATATTATTTTTAAAAATTATGTTAAAAATAAATTTATACCAATAAACAGTTGAGCCAATTCCATTCAAATATATTCTCTTGTCAGCTCAGTATCTCTTCTGCAGTGATAATCTCAAATTTTTATATAAGCCATAAAACTATGACTCCTGGTTTTCCTTTCCTTCTTAGTAAATGACTTTGCTTCCTACTTTTCACAGAGGATTAAAGCCATCTGACAAAAAGCTGTGGTAGATAGATGATAGGTAGATAGATGAATAGATAGATAGATAGATAGATAGATAGATAGATGATAGTGATGGTTTAGTGTTAGGTATCAAGGTATCAATTTGACTGTATGAAGGAATATCTAAGTAGCTAGTAAAACACTACTTATAGATGTATTTGTGAGGGTGTTTCCAGAGGAAATTGGCATATAAGATGACTGAGTGTGGAAGTGTTGAACTCAGTATCTCCCTCCCTATCCCACCCCCATAGCTGAGAAACACTACTTCATTTGCTTTTGACCATCAGAACTCCAGGGATTTTGGTCTTTGGTCTCTGGGTTTGTATCAGTGTTGCACTCACAGAATTTCAACTCTTTGGCCACACAATGAAAATTATAACTGGGCATGGTGGTGTATGCCTGTAATCCCAGCACTCGAGAGGCTGAGGCAGGAGGATCATTGTGAGTTCGAGACCAGCCTGGGTTACAAAGTGAGCTCATGGCTAGCCTGAATTGCATAGTGAGACCCGACCTCCAAAAAAAAAAAAAAAAAAAAAAAAAAAAAAAATCCATTCAAAATGAAAATTACACCATCATCTTTCTTAGTTCTGAGGTCTCCAGACTTGAATTAAGCCACATTACTGCCATCCCTGGGTGTCCTGCTTTCAGATGGACTGTACGTGAAACTTCCTGTCTTCTATAAGTGCACAAACCAATTTCTCTAAGTCTTCTCTCACATATTTATTGCTTTCTTTTTATTAATATATCCCATTGATTCTGTCACTCTGGAGAATCCTGATAAAACATCTAAGATAATTTTGTTTCTGATTGAAATTCACATTTTAATTTTTTAGAGGTTGTTTGTATGTAGTAAACTATTATTTTAATTGTATATACCTTTCTAATTCTAATTTTGAGAGATACCATCACTGTAACTCATGTGAGAAAGTTCAACTTGAAAGAACGTGTCATTATAGACTTCTAAGTGATTGAATGTCTAAACTCATGGAAGATTTTACTACCCTTTCCTTTTTCTTATTGTTTATTGTGAAGTTCATTGTCACAATTACTGCAATTTTCATTGCAGATAATTTCTCCACTGATTTAAGATCTCCTGTTTTTTATGTTCTATAGTTTCTTCATAATATTTGTAAGTATAAACTTTTTAATTTGCTTGAGGTCTTTGGTTTAATGCTTTTTAATAATTGTGGAAAATTCTAGATTATTGTCTCTTCACAAATTACCGTGTCTCCATTTTCTGTTGTTCTCTTCTAGCATCAAGGAATACTCTATTCCTGACTATCCAACACCAATTTAAAGACAAATAAATTTCTGTGCTGTCTTTTTCTGCATAAGTTTATTTCTTATTTACCCTGTTCAGATGGTGTAATCCTTTAGCAGGCCAAATTTATCTGTGTGTTTTATTAGAATACTTAATTTGAGTAGACTCTCAAGCTTTATTTCCTTTTTCTCAAACTCTTATATCCTTTGAAATAGAAGCCTAAGACCTCCAACGTTGAGTGGAAACTATCAGAGAGAAAGGTAGCTTTGACATGTATCTATATCCCAGAGTTCCTACCTTCAGTTAATTTTTTTTTGTATTTGCTGGCTAGTTGCTTGTTTAAAACTTTTAAAAAATATTTTCCTCTGCATTTAAACTTGTTTTTATACATATTTATGGTACATTGTTTATGAAAATGGAACTTTCTTATCAAAGCTGGTTATGGAACGCATCATTTGCCATGATCAATTGTACTTAAAATAATTTCCCTAAGTCGAAGGATGAAGAACTTTTATTATCCATGATATTGTGATTCCTCAACAGACTAAATACTTAGAGGAAGACCCTTTGAAACAACTTAACAGATAAGTATGTTTTTCTGTGTTTATCTGGTAAGAATATGAAAATTTTCCTTTTTTGTTATTTATTACATGACATACTTAATTTTTACAATCATCCCTATGTAAATGAGATGGGCATTTATTTAATATTTATTTTGTAAAGATGTTATGATGCTGTTGCTGATGCTGATTTAATTATACATATGTTTTTAATATTTTGAAACTTGCTAACTATATATTTTCATCTGGCATAGTTTGGCTTTGTAATTAACTAACTGAAGATCCAGGTCATACCAAGCAATGGAATAAATACTTATAGTGTAAGGAATGCATTTAGTAAATTTCAGTTCTTCACTGTCTTTAATCTGCATCAGAGGGTTCCACAGTAAATAAAACCACCAGAATAGATTTCACTCTCTGATCTGCCATAGACATTAATTACTGTATCTTTCCAGATCTCAGCTGCAAAATATCAAAATTGCATTTTTGTGCTAAGATATTATTTTTTTCAAAGCTCCAATTACACAAAAATTTACATTGATCATATACCCCTCAAATAAGAAAAAATAAAAACTAAGCCTATCACAGAGTAACTAGCATTTTGAATACTTTAATCAAGGTTATTCATCTGACATTTCTGACTGATACTAACATTTTACCAGCAAAGCAGTCTATTCTGTGTTGTATTAGTCCGTTTCTGGCAAAGTACCTGATACCTTCAACTTAAAGGAGGGGAGAGAGGGTTATTTGGGTCTCAGTTTAGGTGGGATGCATCTATGGCTGACCACAAAGCAGAAATAGCATACTAAAAAGGTATGACAGAGAAAAGTTGCTCACCATATAGCTGCCAGGAAGCAGAGATAGAAGGGTACCTGGGACAAGAATACAACTTTTAGTCACCCATCCCCGAGTGACCAGCTTCTTCCAACCAGGCTGTGCCTCCAAACACATGAATTTTAGGGGACATTTTAGATCTAAGCCCCCAGACACCAAAAGACTCCTGTTCATCTCATTATGCATAGTGCATTGAGCCTATCTCTGAGTCACCAATATATTAACAGTTCCAATGCTCACTGTTGAAAAGTTCAAGTCCAAAGTTTCTGAGACTCAAGGCAAACTCTTAGCTATCAGCTACATTGAAAATAAAATTACAGTTAAATCTCTCTAATATACAAGGACACAGGGTAGAAATTATCATTTCAAAAAGGAAGAATAGGCAAATAGAAAAGAATCAGACCAAAAAAAAAAATCACACATATATCATCAGCCCTGACTTTTCCTAGGAACTCAAGGTTCTCATATTGAACTATGCAGTTGACAGCTCCATGTGGATGCCTAATAGAGGCTTCAAACATAAAAATAAAACTCCTTTTCTGACATCCTTCATCCCCTTTCCTTAAAATCTGCTTCCCCTCTAATTAAAGCTCTGTCCATTACTTTCTTAGGTCAAGACTATGAGTCATGCTTGACTCTACTGCATCTCTCTGACAGTTGTTAAGGTGGGTATGATCACTGTCAGCTGTGCTGAAGGGGACAGAGGGGGGCCATTCTCTTCTCAGCACATCATACATAGAGAGTGCGTGTTCAGAGGAGACTTCTCACAGTGAAGACTCATCACTAGGTGTGTCTTTCAAGAACAGCTCCTGTGGTTCTTCACACCTGCTGCTCCTGTGAGGTCTGTGGATAAGGGAGAGAAAGGCTTGATGAAAGTGGTATTCTAAAATGGGCAGTCTCCTCCGGGTTGTTGCCAGATATTTGTGAGAGTCTCACTCTATGAATACACTAAAGTGTCGGCAACTGTTAAAGCACATTGATGCCTATTTCTGGCGACAGTGAGAACAAAGCTTTTAATGACGGTTTCACCCACAGTTTGCAGTGCAAAGCTCAACACCTGTGACTGTTCCGTCTTCTGTTATCATGGAAGTAATTACACTATCCAAGGAACACAATAATATGTAATAGCTCTCAAAAGAAAAGAGCAAATTCTGCCTCTCTTGGTCTAATTTCCAGAATAGAATTCAACATCTTTACTATTCTACAATAAAGTAAAACCAAAATCAAAAAACACACTGACAACTGAAATTAGAGATGGTTGTGGATCTCACTGAATATATTTATTTTTACTTTTTTGTCTTACTTGTCTTTTGTATAGATACAGTATATTTTCAAAGCTGGTATTTAACCTACTATAATTCTTCATTGTTTCATGCATAAACCATTATTCATTTCCTGTATACTGGCAGTGCCCTTATCTGGATGCACTATAGTCTGTGAAACAAAACCAACATTTTTGTTTGCTCTAAAATTTAGTATTTAAACCTCAGTGAAATGCAGGATGTGCCATCCTTTACTTAAGTCTGCTATAAATGTGATTTTTGGTAAATATCAAGCAAAAGAAGATAGGCACTGATTTCATTTCTTATTTCTTATATTAAGAACACAAATATTCCATATATTTTGTCCCCTTAGTTCCCCAGAACAATCCTTAGTAGATATTGGTCCTGTTTTATAGATAATGACAGTGAGTTTCATGGAAATACAAATAGGTTGTTTGAGTCCAGAGCCAATTATTGACAGAATTTGAAACATGTCTTTTCACTTTTTTTTCAAATCCTTTATTTACTATACTATGATATTTCCTTTCCCACACAAAAAAGAACATAAATCCAAGGAATATTATGAAGATACATGCAAAAGCTCCCTTCCCTTTTAAAAGCCCATGAAAGCCAGGGATTCAGTGGAGTGGCACAGAGCCTGCCTGGCAAACACAAGGTCCTGAGTTCAATTCCTAGTACCGAAAAAGAAAAGAGCCCATGGAACATAAGGGTAAGAGTAGACAGAGTGGGGAGGGATAAGCATCGCCAAAAGGTGAATTCTACATGAATGTTTTGGAGATTTGTAGCCACAACCTTGAGAAAAGAGAATATGAGAAGGAATAGCATTTCTTAAAATAAAACAATCCTGAGATATTGCTATGGTTGAAAGATTAGAAATTTTGCCACCTTCTCTGTGAATAAGACATTGCTCTCTACCATGCCAAGGAACTTGGTAGTAGGACTGGTAGAAGAACTAAAGCAGCACTGCTTCCAGAAGCCAACTCGTCACAAGAGTTGGAGACCAGAGTTCATGAGTTTATGGGAAGAAGTGGACTATAAGGTCTGACCTCATAATAACTTCAGTATTTCAAGCAGGATACTTTTTTTGTCCCAGTTTAATTGAGAATCTGACAGCAATGATTACCTTTCAGTTCTTTGAAGTTTGTTTGGACTGAAAAAGAAAATTTCCCAAGTTTTGCCATTACTTAACTTGGCAAAGAACTGTGTGGACATGCATCTCTCTGACTTTTAAGGTCGAAATTCTTCTTTCTTTATGCTATCCAAATGATCCATTAGGCATAGGAGAATAATGAAGTTAGTAGAAGGTCACAGATGTGCAGTGTTAGTGTTGATTTTTCTGACAGTTCTTTAAAAATGAAATATAAGTAAATGGTTAAGTCAAAAATGCTTATTTATGTCTATCTTTGTGTCAGTAATACATTGTATTGTCTTTATTGGCTGTGAATAGAGAAATAGATCAGTGCATTTTCAGTATTAATGCCTAAGAAATTACAGAAGGGCCTGATGCTAAGTTGTAAAAAGCTAAGGCCAAAGAAGGCCTATATTTAATTTTTATGACTAGAAAGCATTCATTCAGAACCAAGAGATAGGTCGGCATTAATATTAGCTTCACTGTCATTTTTGTGGAAATAAAATTTGTTTCTTAAATTGAACAAAGAGGGTTACTTGTCCAGATAATGTTTAAGCCATATATGTAAGTAAGAAACAACTACTTTAATAGATTTTTAAATCAGAAATAGTATTAGTTTCCTAGGGCTGATGTAACATATTTCCTCATCCATGGTGGTTTAAAGCAGAAAAAAATTTATTCTCTCACACTTCTCTGCAGGAGCTCCAGTCCTCGCTATCACCTTTGGACGTTTGTCTCCAGTTCCATCAGCCTTCCAGTCCAGAATCTTCAGCCTTCCCACCCAGACCCTTCTGCTTTCCCCTGGAGACTTGCATGGGACTCACTCTGCAGTGAGCTCCAGTCTTGTGACTTTCAGTTGGATCCCCTAGCTCTGCAGCGCATAGATGGCCCATTTGCACCCTTCCTCCCTTGACTCCACAGGCAGCCATTGTAAGCCTACTCGGTAAATCCTCTAGATATCGTACTATGTATTTATATTAAACCTATTCCTGTAGTGAACTCTGCTACAAGTGGCCTATTTTGGCTCATGTCTTTTAAAGGTTTCAATCATAGTTACCTGGCTCCAAGGCAGGAAGGACATGGTGGAAGGGTCTGGCAGAAGGAAGCTGCTCAGATCACGGCAGCCAGGAGATAGAGGGTGAAGGAAAGAGCAAGAGGAGCAGCAGGGAGGGAGATACACCCTTTCAGGTCACAGCCCCAGAGGTCTGCCACTTCTGACCAGATCCCATGCCCGAATAGCACATTTAGCTCTAAAACTCCCCAGTGGATTCACCCCAGTAATCCAATACCTTCTCAAAAGCCAGAACTCTGAAGACATGAGGCTTTTGGGGGGCAGTCTAGATCCGAGCCCTTATCGTCCCATCTCTCCACGCTTGCTGTCTCTGTGCCTGTGGGATCCTACTCATCCCTTATCTGGACTATTATGGCACTTTCCCAACTAGCTCTCTATTCTATGGCTTGCCATCCCCAACTCTACTTCAGTTTATTTCCCACTTTGCTGCCAGTGATCCTTCTAAAGTATTCGTCTACTCTTCCTAGGAATAACTGTGAAAAACTTATCATGGGTGAGGCTCTCTTCTGGGCAGAGAATGGCCTAGCATCTGCCTTCGCGGAACTTAGGCTATATTGTTGCCGGCTATAAACCAAGAACAGGGCATGGCAGGAAATTGAGGGAAAGTTAAGATCACTGTCCTGGCTAGGTTTTGGTGCAACTGAAAGGTAAGAAAGTCAGAAGTCCAAAGGAAAATCCTTGAAATAGTGATGACCACATGTCAGGTTGGAGATTCTGTTTATTAGCTAAAATTATGGAAAGCCTGGCCCTGGGAAAGTTACTGACAAGAAGAGAAGTGAGGTTTTTGCGCACCATTCTGCTAACAAAATGGGGCAAAGTATGAAGCATACTATTCTAACTGAATTTCTTCTCTTTATCCTTTCAAAGGATCCCTTTTATTGGTGATCCCTGCAGTGACCCTCCAATCTCCTGCCAGGAGGCAGCCAGAACCTTGGCATTTATTGATCTAGGAAGGGATTTGAGGAGGGGATTATGGGATGACTCAGGAAGGAGGAGGTGACCTTATGCTAGGAGGCTCTTTGCCCCGGAGTGACTTTTAATCTTAATGGTTTTAGTCCTAGTGGGCGGGAGACAATGGCCCACCCCTAAAGAGATAATGGGAAATCTCAAACCAGTAATAATTCCAAGCCTCTGTTTATCCCTTAGGGAAGTCTGTAAAATTAGCCATTGTGAATTTGTACTCCTCAACACCTTTTCTTCAGGTTTAATTCTTAGCCCCTTAGTTTAATGTTTGAAGGCTCTCACTGAAGTGTCTTTACTTCCTCCCACACTGTCATCGGTCCCTGCCCGGGGTCACAGTTCTCCCATCTGTTCCACATCTGAATTATCTGTGGGCGAGTTACCATTCAGTTTTCCAGATCCTATCCCCAAGATTCTGTTTCATGAGTGATGGATTTGACTTCATCTTTAAACAGTAGCCCATGCTGAAGTGTAGAGCAGTACTGTCCAATAAAATGCTGTGTCATGAAATTGATCTACACCTACACTGCTGAACGACGTAGCCTTAGCACACTTGAAATATGGCTAGTGTGACCAAAACACTAATTTTAAAATAGAAATTTAAATGTAAGTATTATTGGACAGTTTACGTGTAGACTCTAGTTTGAGATTTTTTTTTTTTTTGTAATGACAGTATTCAACACACAGCTTCCTGCCTTGGACTCTAGACATAAGCTCCTTGCTCACAATCTATCTAATCATCTTCCTCTTTTCTATGGAGTCTACAGATCTGGCCTCCAAAAGCCTCTCGCTTGCCCTTTAAAGTCTGGATTAACAGATATCTATCTTTCCATAGCATAAACATAGGTTTCCTGGTGCCTCCAAGTTTTACATGAACAATACATTTTTTGCACATGCTTGTGTAAATCAATTAAAAAAAAGACAGCAAAGACTTTAATGAATCACGCATGGGTAGATACTGGTCATTAATACATGATCATTTATACTGCATTTTGTAACATGAAATTCCACAAAACTAAATTCTATGTAATTAAATTCTTAGTTTAACTGATTTTTAGTGGCTAATTAGGTCAATGTCATGTCTCCAATCCTTTTGTGGATCAGTAAACTTTGCATTGTTTAAGGAAACAATTTGTTTTCGAAGTGAAGAAAACAAGATTTGGAGCCAAACTGCCTGGATTGAAACACTGGCTCTGTTACTAGCTTATGCCTTCATGGAAGATGCTACGGTTTTTCCAACCTGTTATTCTCAGTTTTCTTGTCCACAAGGTGGGTTACCTACTTCTCAATGTTGTTAATGAATTACTATTTGTAAGATTAAAGGGCTTAGGGCAATACAGTACTTGCATACATTAAGGAATTAAGTGTTCCTTTAATGATTTAAAAGCAAACTTAACTTTATTCAATATTTAATATCTCTAGTTAGTGATCTTGTATTTTTACAAAAAAGGAACAAGGGGGAAAATGATCCTTTGGGGACAGTCAGCAGGCAGGGGTGAAGGAGTGTGATTCCCACAATCGGTCATTGTACAGAGAACTGCTCCAGAGATCACACAGAGGCTGAGATGTCGATGGAACGAGCTTGAGGAAAAGAACTCCTTGGAGTGAAATCTCATGCGATTTTGTTGAGAAGAACTGGTTTCTTGAACAATCCTTCATTGCAGATTTCTTATTACCTTTTTAATCTAAGCCGAAATGGATCTAAGAGATAGAATTTGAGCTTCTAGTTCTTCTTTCTCAAAGAGCTGGTGGTATTTTCTTGTCTACTTAAATTATAACCCTTTCCTAATGGTACCCTGCTTTCCCTTAGGTGGTGGCAAACGTATGGCATGTGAGCTGCAGTGAGCAAGCAGAGCCCTCTTTGTTGCAGAGTTACCAGGGGTGTTTTTCAATAGATATGGAATCTCAGGCCCCTCCCTGGATCTTTGAATCAGACACTGTGAATGCATTGCTATTTTTATCAAGATCCTAAAGTGATTATTATCCAAATTAACATGGGACACCCACTGCCATAGTGGGTATGAGGAATTTAAAATATATTAAGCAATTTTCACAACAACTATATGAAATAGATATTGATCTGATTTTACAGATGGAGACATTAGAGGCAAAGATAATTGTCCAAAGTCACCTAAGATAGTAAATGAAAGAACAAGAATCCATACCCATAGATCTCTTCATTAAAGCTCATACTTTTCCGCTATGTTATTGAACCTCAAACAGGAACAGTAAAAACAAAAGTATCAATTAAATTTGAGTACATTATCTAATTAATGCCATCTGTGAAAAGAGCTAAACTACTGCTGAGGTTCAATTTGAAGAAGATCTCGATGTGGATTATTTTAGACTGACACATAAGTGATTGTGTGCAAGTTTAGAAGAAGGAGTCATATGTTACTTCTGAAGTCAGTGGCTCCTGGGGTGGATTTGGAATAAGAAGAAGAATGTGTAATATTTTTCTTTCCAGTGGCATTCTACAAAGGGGATATACTGGAGGCCCCATACTGGATCAACATGATGCATAACTTTTTATAATCTGTAAGCAGTCAAGTTTAAATTCTATACTGTTCATAAGATCCAAGTCTTCATATGTTTTATCTTATTTGAAATAGCCTATGTAGTCCCACTACATAAGCTATTCCATTATTTCACAAAATTCTGCAAATTATATAGACAATATTTCAGCCCAAATGAGGTTTGCTTAATGGTTGTTTGTTTTCCGTTATGTATTACCATCACTCTGAGCTGAAACTTCTGTGCTAGTGCCTTGACATAGATGATTGGAAGCAACATGGACACAATCATGATAATTCTTTCACATGACGCAGTCAAAGACCGGATTTAGTGAGATCCCTTTCCTAAGGGAAAAAAGAAAACCACTCTGTGTTTCTATTAAAAATGAAGCATATTTGGAGTCTTCATCCTCCCCCATGGAAGTGTTGACTTAAACATAGGCTTGAATTGTGCAAGTTTGTTGACAGTCTAATTTTATTCTAATATTTAAAAGACATTTTGTTCAATACATAGAAATACAAGCCAACTATGAGATTTCAAGTGCTGGGGCAGGCTTTGGGGCATTAGTAGAACTATGATCTATGTGAACTCTGTAGAAAAAGTGCATATTCTGAATTTATTCAATGTACATTCATATCAAAGGCATAAACTTTCTTGTCAAAATTTAAGAAAGCTGAAGAATAATCCTTACTATATCCAAATTGGGTTTAAGGAATACTCTTTTGAAAGTAACCTTCCTGTGTGATATGACTCGACTCTTTTGAAATGTTTAATGCTGAGTTGCTCTCTAATTAGCATACTTTGTATATTGCTGGATCCAAAGCATAATCAGCACCTTATAAACTATAATGAATTTTTCACCTCCAGTTTGAAAAACTATAGCCTGTCTTTTATTCAGTTCCTCCCTGGTCTCCATAAGACTTCTGGCAGTGGTTGCATTCACACTTAATATCATTGTAGGTTAAACATAAATGGTAAAAATCACACCTATTAAAACATTGTCAATTACAATTTGTTCTCAAATTATCATCCTAGTAGTATACGGGGCCTCGTCTACACCAAGTCTCTGAGGTTTTTGTACAGTAAATTGAGAAAGGACTAGATGGCTAAAATTACAGTGTTCACAAAGACAACTTTTATGAGCCAGAAAGAAACTGTCCTAAATTCCTGACAATGTCAGGAAGAAATACCTTCCCCCAAAACCTAGCCATAAGGTTCCATCTGCCAGGTAATACTGCAGCACCAAGGAACAGATGACTCTGAAAGCCTGCCCTGATTCCTGCTCTCTACGGGGAGTCTAATGTATGATATGTAACAAGAGGAAAGACTCAGAGCTCAAACCCTGAGTACAGCCTGCCTGCTCAAAAATACCTATGCTATTTATAAATGTCCTCTGAAAGAAGTCGAGATTTCTATTGGAATTGAGACATAGTTCCAAGAAGTACCATTCTTT